CAGCAGAGTCACTCTCTCTGTGACTCTCCTGGGCCAGTTAGCGGAAGCTGCTGTGGCGTGGTGTACTCAGCACCCACAGCATCTCGGGGACATTTGTAAGCACTCACCCTTAGGGCACTGTGGTTGGGAGGGGTTGGCCTGCTCTAAACAAGGTTCAAGGAAAGCAGTTGTGCTCCTCCTGGCCCATCTGTGGGTCACCTGAGTCCACAGATCTGGCTGGCCTCAGAGAACCAGTCAGGGATGTGTCCTTATGGTAGTGTTAGATGCACAGGAGAGCTTCAGAGCTGCCTGAGGCCATGGAGGCCTGGGCTTGTTACTGGCGCACTGCCCCTTTCTCCCACACATCACTGGCCAAAGCCAGTGAGATGGCTCCCAGAGCCAGGAAGTACACTCCTCTCAGGCGGAGGCTGTGGGAAAAGATACAGGGAGTGGGAAGAGTCAACAGCCCATTTCACCCCACCCTGATTTAGGCCCCTTGCAGCTAGCACTGTCAGGAAAGGAGTGAGAAGATGGGCAAAATGGTCATCGTCACAGCCCAGCAGAGATCTGGTCCCTGGCCCAGGACTATTTAATATTGTTAAAGAATTAGCTGTGTTCTCCTGGCTTGGTTGTGAACCCCGTCCTGTGCCATGTGCTTCGAGGGAGATAAGCCCCAGTTCTATTTTCGGAAGCCACTGTCCATAGACAGATAAGACTGTTCAAAGGTGATGGTCAACTGTGTAATGCAGGTTGTGGGGTCCAGAGAAAGGGGAGTCAGCAAAGGCTGGAAGAAAACCAGGCGAGGAGAGGAGCGACACCAATAGCGACATCCAGGAGCACGAGCTGCATGCCAGGTTCTTCCATGTCTTACTTCCTCTCCTGACTGCCCAAGGTGTGCCAAGATTGTGCCCCATTTAACAGATAAAGAAACAGAGGCATGAGCTCAGGTCACTCGCCTGTGACCAACACTGGCCACAACAATGGACAATCAGAGCCTGAGTGTTAATCGCTAGGGTGCATGGCCAGACACCTGAGGGGAACGGGACCTCAAAGATGCAGACAGATGTGCAGAGAGGCCAGCCACCAGGGCGCTGGAGCTGCCAGGGGACACCAGCCATGGTATGAACTATAAATGGGAGCAAAGATAGGATGTGTGATTTGGCCAAGGTCCTGCAGCAAGATCGGGTGGAGGCTGGGGAAAATCCTGGCATTGGCTCCTGTTCCCTCGCCTTCCACTTTCCTTGGTACCAGCGGGTTCTGGGCGCTCTCCACCGTCTGCGCGGCCACGCCTGCTGCGCTTCCCTCTTGGAAGAGGTGCGATCCACTGGCGTTGGAGCCGGGTGGACTGGCTCCCTTTCTATCCATCTCTTTCTTCCTTTCCCCTGCCATGTTCTGGAAAGGGCAGCGGGAGGGAATGTGGGCAGGTTGCACCAGAGATATACATCTGAGAGCTGAAGGGAACATTTATTTTTAATGTAGACTTAAAAAGAAAAAAGGAAGTTATAAAATATCTGCTCTTGCTCCTGGGATTGTGCAGATGGTGCTGCGTTTTGCCTAATAGGGAACGGGGGGGCTGGCATCGCATCTGCTAGTCCCTGCACGGCTGTAAGGACCTGGGGCAGCGTCCCTGCACCCTAGCCCCAGCCCCAGTGACTCCCTGGGATCTGTTTGTCAACACAACTTGCTGTTCACTTCCTCCTAGCCTTCCTCTCTTCAGACTGCCTTCTGCTGATTTCCCAGACCTCCTTCTCAGTCAGGATAGGCACTTACACACACACACACACACACACACACACACACACACACACTCACACGCACGCACATGCACACACTGAAGTTCAGTTCTCCCTCTTCCTTTGTCAGATAATGTGGGCATGCTGACCTGTCCTTCCTGGGCCCCTATTCTGATGTGAGGTTGATCAACATTTCAAACAACTGTGTCTCCTTAATCCACCTTGCCATTTTCCTGGGTATATAAAGGATCTTCTCACACACTTCCTTGTTTGGTGTTTGTGTTGTTTTGTGATTAGGCGTCATGTTCCCTCTTCTCCGCTATTACACATTGGGAGCAGCATGAGATGTGGGACAGAGACAATACTCCATAATCAGGCTGAGGTGGTGACTGAACCCTTCTTCCTTTGTGTTTAAGGGTGAACTGGAGAAAGGGTACCCTAAAATCAGAATGGGACAACGAAGCCATGGATCGGGACACCTGACTCTTTCTCTAGTTTGCTGTAAAGTCAGGCATATCACTGAATTTCTCTAAGTCTTAGTTTCTCCATTTGTAAAGTAGGGAAGGTAATCTCTATTTGTCTGATCCCCAGGGTTATGATGAGGTGGTGACATATGGGGAAATGCTTGGCAAAAATTAATCACTCTCTTTAAGAAACATGAGATTTGTTATAACAGTTGAGGTGCCCATGTGGACACCAGGCCTATGTTAGGGTGGGAGTTGTCCAACAAGGTGGAAAGCTCATGGTCACAGGGCTATGTGCAAAACGTATGTGTGTGGGGACTGCCTGGGTACTAGTGCAGTTTAAGGCTCTGGATTTTTCTGGAAAAGACTTTATAACCCTTTTAAAACTCATTCCACAAGACAAAGTATGTGAAGGTGAAAATGGGACACAAAGGGAGGGGAAGATAGAATAAAGCCAGGAGTGAGCTCTGGACCCTGAAAATAAGCCATGTGGGTCTGTACCCTTGGCAGATGTGGTGGGGAGTGGCCCAGGCTTCTGGATGGTCAGTGCAAAGAGAGCCGTGGGTCTGGGTCTGCAAGATGCATGCAAACTGGTTGCTCAGAAGTATAATTTCTGACCTTGAGACCAGAAAAAGTGTCTCCCAAGAGTTTTCATGAAGAAGGCCCTGTGATACATTGAGCAGAGTCCTTTGAGATATGTTATGTACATCTATCAATTCCTTACAATGAATGGGATTACTATATTGCAAACATGTACTAATACAAAATTTTAAGAAATTTTTTCACTAGAGGCCAGGAATTTAGCTCAGTGGCAGTGTGCCTGCCTTGCAAGCACAAGGTCCCGAGTTCAATTTCTGGTACCAGAAGAAAAAAAAAAAAGAAAGGAAAGATATTTTGCTAAAAAGTACTGGGGTGGGGGTTGCACGGGGGAAATGAGCAGTGCTCTGGTGAATAGTTGTGGGGGAAAATGCAAGGAGTTCCCTTGGGCTGTATCTTATGATGTTCCTGGTGACCCAAGCACACTTCCAGGATGAGGTGAGGGTTCTGGGTGAGAAAACAGTGAAGTCCACAGCAGATTGTGCTGTATAAGCTACAGAATTACAGGAGAGGCTGAGCCCTAAACAGTGGACTGGCAGGGATTGCCCCAGGCTTCAGGCTTTCAGGGGTAGTCAAATGTGCATATGTACACACACACACACACACACACACACACACACACACACTCACACACACACCACTGCTCTCTAGGTTCAGCCTTTCTCCTTTCTGGCCCTGAGTAGGAGGAGAACCTGGGTCCCTGGGGCACCCCTCAGCATGTGGGATCTCATCACAATGAGGTTATTTCTGTTGACTTCACACAAAACCTAGAACAGAATTTTAAACAGAAGACCACCAAGGACAAACCCTTCCATTTGTAGGGAAAGCTAACGCCCCAAAGGGAATTGCCTTGCAGCAGAGACCACAAAGATGGCCCTGAAGGTGAGCCCTAAGGTTCCTGGTTTTCAGTCCAGTCCCCAGAGCTGCCACTGCAAAGAAAAACTGAATAGAGGGTGGGGATGTAGCTCAGTGATGCAGTGCCTGCCTGGCAAGTGTGAGGCCCTGAGTTTGACTCCTGGCACCAAAAAAGAAAAGTGAAAAAAATAACTGAATAAATATCTTATTCTAGGAGAAAAATCTCACAAGAGAACTCCTTATTGGTGCTACAAAATGGCTTTACATTATATAATTTTATTCAAACTGAAATGGGCCAATAAATATGTGTGTGTTCACTGTTTTAAAACATTTTAATGTTTAAAGCATGATTTACTAATGCTACTGAGGATGTCTAGAATTTGATTTACTGAATAGTATTGAATGTTTATACTTACTCCTTACAGAAATTCTTGCCAAAGAGCCATTTTATCTATAGGAATAATAAATAAGTCAATGTGTGGATGGCTGTGCACATTTTTCCCATATGCAGTGGTACTTGGTAGATGTTATTTTGCACACAAACACTTAGAAGGTAATCTTGAGGGATATCCATGGACCCCTGAAGAACAAGCCATGGTCAGTGTCAAGATCACAGTTAATCTTGACCTAAACCAAAAAAGTAGTGTGTGAGTGTAACTCTCTGGTGCTGTTTGGGTTTGGGAATCATGGATCCACACCCGTGTGTCCATACTTAGTCTTTCACGTGTATCTGTTCATTCTTTCATTCATTCACGCAACAACCATTTATCAGACATCTATTTCCATTCAGTAAGTTAAACATGGTGTAAGTTTTCACTTCATTCAGAGTCTGAGATAACAAAGTCCCCCAAATTCTATTTATAAATCACTTAAAGTGTTTGAAATAATTGTTATTTAATCTCTACAAAATCCTCTAGGATGGCTAGGGCTCAAAGTTTAAGTCACCTGAGTGGACATGGAGGTGTTCCTTTGTTTGCTTGTTTATTTTTATTGGCTCCTCTAAATTATGGAAGAATGCATACCCACTGCTAATAAGAATAGAGAAATACTTAAGAAGAATGTGAGGAACCTGCGATGACCTCCCGAGAAATCCACAGTTAATAGTCAGGATGTGCTCCAGATTTCTTCATGCTTGGAGACATACATGTATGTGTTTGTGTATATGGCTATATGTGAGTTCTTTTGTACATGAATAGACTTATGCTATAGTATAATCTTGCAACTTGATTGTTTTCATCATATACCATCTCACCACAGGCATGGGTTTGTACAGGTCCAGCTCACTCTTGTTCACATATGTGTATTTCTTCTGTGCAAAAGTGTGAGATGTTTCTTTTGCCATCTTCAACCTTGTTCCTCTCTTGGTCTTCAGGTTGTGGGTCTTCTCCTGCCCAACCAGACTCTGGCATCCACTGTCTTCTGGCAGGTAAGGGTCTCCACAAGCAGAAGTCTCCTCAAGGAGGGATCCAGACATTTGCCAGTTGGGAACTCCCTACCCCAGGGTCTCCTGTTCTGTTCAGGACCCTGCTCTAGCCCAAATACTACTGGAGAAAAAAACAAGACATTGGCCTAGCTGAACAGGCTTCCTGCAGCCCAGAATGCCTTCACCATTATGTGTCACTCTAACTTTGGATGGAGGTGATGAAGGGACTGGGCACCCTGCCTGGAACATGATGGTTTGTTGGTGGCAGCCCACTCTGTCCTTTAACTATGTCTTATGGCCAGTGATCTGAGGTCCACAGCCTCATTTTGACATCAAATTTCACTAAAATCTGCAGGTGAAGATTGAACCACTCCAATCCCAATGTAGTGAAGTGCATTGCAGATGACCGTCCTCTCTTCATGGGAACAGTCCAGTTAGTTGTAGCTCCCTGAAAACAACTGAGGATGACTCCTTGTGTCTTTGTAGAGGAAGAAAATCTGTCTTTTGGGATAAAATGTTAAGAGAAGCTTCCTTTCACAAAATTGCTAAGTGTTTCCATGGCTGGGCATTGGTGGTGTGCACACCTGGGAGTTTGCAAAAAGGGCAGGGCTGTCAATGGCTCCACCTTCTGTCCAACAAGTACTCAAGGGTGATGTGGCAGAGGTATTGGGGCAGTAGATGTCATGGTTCCAAGAGAGGGGCCTGACTGTGTGGGGCTGGCTGCTGTAGTTTGGCAGGAAATGAGTGGTTTTCTGAGACTCGACACTTCCAATGCTAATGGTGGCATAGCCTTGGGAAAACTGGGTCAGTTGGGCATGCTATCCAGTGGGGTGGAGCTGGAGACTGCCCTGTGCCTTTCTGTCTGTGGCCTTTCAGGGAATGTGACCACACCTTGCCTGACATCTTCTCTCCTTGCTACCTTTCAGTGGCTGAACCAGAGCCACAATGCCTGTGTCAACTATGCAAACCGCAATGCTACCAAGGTGAGTGTCACTGCCCTCCACCTGGGGGTGGGTTCAGCCTGGGAGGAGCCCAGTCCTCGCTACATGGTGACATCATTATTACTGGTGTTAGCATTGGCCTCCTGTACCGTATTCACACTGCCAGCTCCTCTGTCAGGACAACAGACCCAGCTTACCTGGCTAGAGCTAACTGGAGCCTCTAAGGCAGGGCCTGTAAAGGAGGGTGTTTGGGGAGTCATAAAAGGGATGAATTTTTCTCACTTCAGAATTCTCCTTGGGTAGCTCTTACACTCAGGTCATGGATTCAGACCGTGTTAAGTGTACTGGGGACTGAATTCCCCTACAGTGTCCTCCAAGCTTGCCTGGAAGTTGCCTCAGTGCCCAGCTCCCAGACTGCTGACAACATAGCCTAAGAGCTGCTCTTGAGGGATAGGGATCTGAGAGGTCTGGGACCTTTTCCCTCAAGTCCCCTGCACCCTGGAACAAGCCCATGGTGGAGGTCTGGTTGCTCTTCTGTTTTCCAGGAAGGGCTGCAGGGTCTCTGCTTTGCTGGTAACACCACCTCTCTTCCTAGCCAATCTTCACTCCAAAGGCAAAGGGCAGAGAGAAGGAATCTAGGTAGCCTCTTGGGGATCACCTGTTTGGGAAAGGGAGGATCTTAGCATATTCTAATGCTGGCAAAGAGGTGGGTGAGGTTATCAGGGTCCTAGGACTCAGGATGCCTCCTCACTGCTGTACCCACAGACTAAGGCTCTCTCTTGTAGGCTTCATGTATTTGCTTCTCAGCTGGGCTGGCTCCTATTTACCTTAAACCAAGTGTCTCCAAAATTGCAGTTGCAGTAAAGACATGTTCCTTAGGTTTGTTTTGTTTTGTTTTTCCTAAATTTTCTGTGTTGGAACTAGGGATGTATTTTTGTATAGAAATACTGTCAGCTATTGACAAGGAATCCCAGTGGCTGCCTGGGCTGAGGGGACCTGTGAGAGCCAGCCAGTTACCAGCCTTGACACTACCATACTACGCAGACTGCTCTCGGTGCTAGATGCGCACTAGCCTCCCTATACTGGAGCCCACCACCCAGCCACAGAGGACCCATTCTGCTCTGGGCCTTCCTGCCTCCAGCCATTAGAGTCTGCCGGTGACTGTTCTAGATCAGGGCAGAAGGGGAACGGGCCCTTAGGCACCTCCTTGGGCATTGCTGCTTTGTGTTCCCACACTGGAACTCCTGGGGTGATTTGCAAGGGTGGAGTGCGGCACATTGGGTGCCCAATGGGCCTGCGGTTCTGCATTTTTCTTCCAGCCTTCCCCAGCATCCAAGTTCATCCAGGGTTACCTGGGAGCTGTCATCAGTGCCGTCTCCATTGCTGTGAGTAACTCCTTGCTCCACCCCTCAGTCCATAGCTCTTGCCCCCACTGAGCACTGTGGGTGGACCCTTGTCCCAGAGCCAGGGCTGGAAAGGATGCAGAGATAGGGTCTGTGGGAGCTGTAGGGGCAGGCGTGCCTGGCAGGGAAAAGTCTGTAACAGCAAAAGAGCACTAACGTGTGCTCCAGCGTTTGGAGGTAGATGGAACTACTACTCTTCTCCAGGCTCCATGGTCAGGGTGTTAACCCTCAATCTTCCTGAAGCTGCTGATCCTCATGCTCAGGAATGTAGTTCATACACTGTTGGCCACGGGTCAACTCCCCTTTGCGCTTGGCCTGAGCCCCCAGGGCATTCCTCCTCTGTGGCCATACTCCTGTGGTTACGTGACCAGCCCATCCTGAAGGTCTATAGGCTTCTGAAGACAAGGCCATTAGGCTCACTTTGAACCTTCATAGAACTTTGAGAATAGGGGAGTTTGTAGACTGACTGAGAAAAATGTAGATGAATGATGGGTACTTGTTCCCAAAGAGGATAGAGAACAAGTGACATAGCTAGGAGCCTGGGCCAGAACTGGAGTGGAACCTCAAACTCCTAAGACCTTGTCCAGCCCTGATCCGACCCCGTGCCTACATCTGGCATTCTCTACATCTCTTCTGGGGTGGGCTCCTGTGGCCATCTCCAGAAGACAAAATCTCTTTTCACAACTTTGTTGTTTCCTTCATTTTACAATGCATCCATGTAATTGGTAAGAAAACACAAAGATAATGAATAAATTAATATATTTCAATCTTTTGGTTTAACCTCCTTTCCTCATCTTTCCTGTGCCATTAAATATCATAATGGTTTATGACTAGGTAATAATGCATTGTATCCTACACCACACTCAATTCTGTTGTTCTTCTAAATTAAAGATTTTGGGTTGCCTTGAAATGTCCTCATTTATTTATTTCATTCCCACATAGACTGAGTCACTTCCAAATAGCTGTTAGTGGTGTATCCTATCACACGCCCAAGATCTCTTTCCTTTCTTTTTCTTTTTTGCCCGCACTTCCTTTCTTGAACTCTCACGTCTTAATGCTAGTGGGAAGCCACATGCTGTCAAACCTATGTAGATGGCTCACCAAGAGACTGCCACCCCACCTCAGTGGGCCTGCAGCCCAGCATAGGACTTACTTTGCAGGGAATCAGACAAATTGGGGGTTCCTATTTCTGGGGGCTTGCTGAGCCAAGGTCAAGGCCTCCACTGAGAGTGGGAAAGGGCTCCTTAAGATGAGAAGAGCTGATCAGTGGTCTTCCCAGCTTACCAGATGGAAAAGCCCCTTTCCCCCTTGGAGATGTACAGGTGAGGTGGGCAGGAAGAGGAAGAGGTCACAGCCGGAAGGAAGCTGAGTGATCCTGAGGGCTTGAAGGAAGGGGAATCTCTGTCCTAGTGGGTGTCCTTCTCCCACAAACCTGGTGCCATGGAAACAAGGTGCATCTTCTGCAGAGAGCTCTGGCCTCTGTGTCCCTAGTCCTCATCATCCCATGCATGGGACCACAGTAGTGCCATATAGTCACTTTCCAGAGCCACAGCTGGCCCAGATGACAAGTGGTACTTCTAGACTGGGCCCATCAGAATTACCATGGATGTGGGATCTCCAGGGCTCCCAGAGCTGGGGTCTCTGCAGCAGGGCCTGGGGGCCACACTCTGGGCTATGCCACTGTAGGGAAGCCCTCTTCCCTCCTCCTTCCTCCATATCTAGTCACAGAGTCCCTTGGAGGCGGCTTTTCCCAGCCCATGCTGCTCTTCCTCAGCCCAAATCCAAGAAACTTCTGTTCTTCCCACACTCTCAGTTGTGCCCCATGTCCCTGTCCTCTTATTGTTCCACAGCCTGAGACTCGTCCCCAGCTGGATTACAAGTTAACCAGGGACAGGCCCCAGGTGTCCTCCCCCCACAGAGGAGATCACAGAACACTGCTCCATAAATATTATTAATTAGGCTGCTGATTGATTGCTGGCCTCAGGAGGCCCCTCTCCTCTCCCATCCACAAGCCTTAGCGGTGGCAGTGGCAGGCCTCTGCCTGACGTCTTCACACAGTCAGGGGCTCACTTCGGCAGATGGAGCGGAGTTTCTGACTTGGAAAGTCTGCAGCTCGCTTGCTTCTCTTTTGTGTATATAAATCACAAAACCTCCAAAGAAAGAGGCTTTATTTTATTTTCCTTTCCCTTGTTCTCTGGAACCCCAGGCCCTGCGGCCTCATTAACTGATCTCTACTTCAATTAGTGACAAATCCCCTCCCAGGGAGAGCCTGTTAGGAAGAGATGACCTGCAAACAAGTGTCACAGCCCCAGTGGTTGGCCTGGCTCTGGCATTAATTAAAACGAGTCCCTACGAGCAGGCAGCCTGGATGTGGCTGACAGGCTGAGAGCAGGTTCCAGGGACTGAGGTGACTGGCGTGGAGGACAGACCTCCTCTGTGGACCCTGAAGGGTCCTCCCTCCCTCTCAGAAGAGCTCCTGGCACTGGTCAGCACTCTGCCCCCCAGTCAGGCATCCCTGGTTTGCAGGCCCCCAAGTGAAATCCCACGTGGACTCTAGGACCACAAGGGTTAGGAGCCTCTCAGTGAACCTCCTAAATAGATGTGGCAATGTCTGATTTCTTGCTTGAGAATAAAAAAGAAACTCCATCTTAAGTTATTTTTGAAATCTTAACAGTTTGCTGTCTTTTAACAAAGGAAGCCTCTCTCTGTCCTCATTGTGTTTTTGTCCTGGAGTTTGTACAAAACACTTCTGTGCTCAGCCCTCACTAGCTCTGCCAGAGCGAGAGATTGGGCAAGACCCTTGGTGTCTGGCACTCTGTAGGGGCTGGGACCATAGCGGATGTGACCATCAGGTTACAAAGGAGGGAAACTGAGAGCACTGTGTGATGTGCTCAGAATTATTCTGATGAGGTTGACCCTGGAGCAGGGTGGGACCAGAAGGGCACCTAAGTCACAGTCAGTGGGTTGACTTGTAGGACAGACAGAGAGAGCCAGGGGACAGTAGGGCTAGGTGTCTGGGGTTGGGGGAGGACACAGTACATGCAGAAGCCCAGGAGGAGAGACAGGCCCCAGGCACTTGTCAAAAAGTGAGTCTCTGCTGTGTGGGGAGCAAGGGTGAGGAGGTGATTGGGACAAAGTAGAGAAGTAGCAGGGGCCAGTCACAAAGTACTCTAAATGACTTTCTGAGGAGGTCACTGGTCATAGGAACCCTCCCCTGGTTTAGGGATTGGGTATGGCAGGGGCCTGGGCACAAGTGGCTGGAGGAGAAATCATTGTGGGTGGGAGGGATTTGGCAGGTACAATGAACAGACCACTCATGGTCACAGGGTCCTTTGTAAGGGTGGACCCTAGGCAGGGGAGAAAGACTGAGGGCCGAAGTCCTACATGACCAGTCAGGTGCTGGTTGGTGGAACCAGCTGAAAGAGATGCTTCATTCCTTGAACCCTTTCCCATCAGCTAGGTCTCAGCTGGCTGAAGTCTCCCCTGCTGGGCAGTGCTGACATCCTTTTTCAAAGGTTCCAGGGCTGAGCGGGCCCTTTCTACATAGGGTGCAGCGGATATCTGTTAGCCTTTTCTACCAGACACTGGAGGATGAGGAGGAACCCAAGGAATCCTGAGGTGAACCCTACACTTCCTGTTCTCACTGCTGCCCAGTGATTCCATGGCAACTAGCCATGTCCCCTCAATGGTCAGACTGGCAAATAATCATAGTAATAGTACCAATGGCTAACACTTCAGGAACACCTATACTGTGCCACTATTTAGGTATTTGTCCCCATTTTTCAAATGAGGAAACTGAGGGAAGGTGTGAAGTCAGTGACAGAACCTGTCAGGCTTACTCACAAATTCTTGTTGATACTCAAAAACTCCCTGCCAACCCTGTGCCATGAGAGGCCAGAAAAAGCCAAGCAGTATTTCAACTTCCATGCGGGAGGAACCAATACCATGCCCTTGATAGGCAGGTCCTTTCCAGGTACCCTGACAGCAGTGGAGGAAAGTTTTTGAGAGGCTTCTCCACCTTCAGATCCTGGGCCTCTGTTTTTCTGGCCAAAGTCAAATCCGCCACATATCTCTGTCCCTTCTCCAGAGTATGCCCTCCTCCTGCAGAACAGGCTGGCTGTGTGGCAAAGTGGACCCCAGGCCCTTCTGTGCTTCTCCACGTCTGGAGGGAAAGGGAAATTCAGCACCTGTGAATTCTGGACCAGACTTGTCTCACCACTTTTGCTATGAGTGGCTGCTGGGTTGGAGGGGCCGTCAAATGGACCCCATGGCAGAATCTGAAGTGTTTCAGAAGCCTGCAGATGGTGACGTTGGCAGTGGCAAGTCAGGCATGAAGCCTGTCTCTGCATCTATTCTGGGGAGGACAAGTTGCTGTCCCCCTCTTATATGGAAGGGTCTAATGTAATTGGTTTCCCCTGCACTGGTCCCTGTGGAGCTCGGTTCAGGGGTCAGGGTTGGCTACTAGCAAACAAGCCACTGAGCTGCAGCTAGAGCTGACTGATGCTTTAGCCTGTGCGTCACTCTGCCTTAGCCACCCTGGCCCCTTTGCTCCTGAGTCCACTGCCAACCAGCAAGCTGGCTGGAGCTGAAGGACTATTGACCTCCTTGGTGGGTCATGGGTCCCCTTGATGACCAAATTTATTCTACAGAGCACGCCCTCTGGTGGGTACTTTTGGTACTTCAGTGATTCGGTGACCAGCCCCAGCCTGTGGCCTCCAGGAATCACAAACCCCTGACCATCCCTTGCACTGTTACCCACCACCCAAGAGTGGATCTAAATTATGACCTCATGGCATCCCTCCTGTCATTATATATTTTCTCCTTACAGGCAGGTCTTCTCTGTGCCTCTTGTTTCTTTTCTTTCTGACTCAGAGATCACTTGATTTATTCAGAAGCATTTGTAAGCCCTTACTCATTTCACTCAAATTCAGTGAGGAACAAGAGACATAGGCCCTATGCCCTAGTACTTAAGCTCTATTGGGAGACATAGATTTTTTGTTGTTGTTGTTTTTTGAGACAGGGTCTCACTATGTAGTTAAGACTGTTCTGGAACTCACTATGTAGCCCAGGCTGGTAGGTCCGGAGTGCTGGGATTACAGGCGTGCACCACTATACCCGGCTGGGAGACATAGATCTTTAGTAAAGAGTCCAGAGGTAAAAATATTTCTGTGTCTAAGTTTTTATCTCAGATACATGTATTATTTTGATTCAGAAATTTATAAGAAGGTAAACAAATATGTGATAAGAGACTGTAATAGGTACATGCAAGAAAAACTTCCAGATTTATCAAGAGACTATCAAGGGGGCCTTGAACCAAGAGGAGGCCCAACATTTTAGGCTGAAAGTAAGGAAGCCACAGAGGGACAGCACTCAAAGGCCTGAGGTAAGGGTGGGGGTAGATATTGGCTCATCAAAGGAATGAGGAGACAGCCAGGTGCCTGGAGCCCTGGAAACAGCAAAGTTGAGTGGTCACACAGGATTGTGTGGCTTCCACGTGCTGTGAGGAGCCACTGAAGGCCATTAAGCAAGTCTGTATGTTCAGGTTACTTTGGCTACTGAGGAGAGTAGGTCAATATTTTGGGCTCTGGCAAGAGGGGCAGGACTGGAAGAGGGAGCCTGGTTAGGAGGCAGTCGTGTGGGTTGGGGTAGTGAGTGCTAAGTAGGAACAGAGAAAGAAGAGCTACATTCAAGTTATCCAGGAGCTAGAACAGGTAGCCATGGAGTAGATGTAGGCTCAGAGAGGCTCCAGTCCAGGAAAACCCCAAGGTTCCTAGCAGGTGATCTGGTAGCTGGTGGGGTGGACAGGGTATTGGTGAGGCAGGGCTTGACACCCTCCAATTGGGGGCATGCTGTTGCCCGCAGAAACAAAGTTTTCCCCAGGCAGTAGCATGTGTGGCTGGAGTGGTGGACACAGCTGGGTGAGACTGGAATGCAGCTGTCACTCCAGCCCCACCCAGTGCCTCCTCCTTATAGAAATGATGCTCCTCTTGATCTAGAAAGATGTTGATATTTAAGGATGCAGCCCTGGCTGCATAGCTCATGATACTGAAGTTTTTGTGTCATAGAACTCCCATCCCCACCTGCCATTCTTGGAGCTGGCCAGCCCTATCCTTGTCTTGTGGAAAACTGCTCTTGCTAAGCAAGCAGACGATCTTAAGTGGCATGCAGACATTAAGCATCATTCCTTGAGAAGGGCAATTGGAGAGTAAATTCATTAAGAGAATTGGAGAGTACATTCATTAAGAATGAAGCTTTGGGCCGGGCATGGTGGTGGCACATGCCTGTAATCCCAGCACTCTGGAGGCTGAGGCAGGAGGATCGCTGTGAGTTCAAGGCCAGCCTGGGCTAATATAGTGAGTTCCAGGTCAGTCTCAACTACATAGACCCTGTCTCAAAAAAAAAAAAAAAGAGTGAAACTTTGGAACCAGTATGAATGGGTGAGAGATTCAGCAAGACACGTGTATGTATCTGCGAACAGGCCAACATGGCCAAGCTCAGGGCAGGGGCCAGGGATCAGCAAAGTGGGAGGAGACCAGAGCTGGGAGTCCACCCAGTGACAGCAGTCACCCTGCTCACAGCCAGCAGTAGGCCTAGGGGCAGGATGGCACAGACCCAGAGGAGGCAAGTGACTGTTACTCTCCTCCTGTCTGAGGCCCCAGCCCAGGTCTTAACTGCCCCAGCACTTTGGACAGGCACAATCTGGGAAGGAGCCCAGGGTGGGCTGCAGACCGGGGGCTGGATGCCCGTCTGTTCTGGCTCCTCGGAGCCTATTGGCCTGAAACATTTGGTAAAGACCATTAAAATTAAAAAGCCAAGTGGCTGGGGCCTCAGAATGCCAGCTCGTTTTCCCTGGCATGGTGGGTCCTGTTTAAGGGAACCAGCTGGCATTAATGGCACACAACTCATCATGAACAGCAGCTAGCGATCAGAAAAATCAGAGCTAATAATCAAGTTCGGGAAAGATAATGAGATATGGAACAATCACTGCTGAGGGTCCCCCGGGGTCTATTTTAACAGCCTCCAAATAAGCTACAAAATAGAAATTAACCAAACAGGAGCTCCATTTGGGTAGAGGGGGAAAACAAACAAGGTACAGATTTGCACAAAAATTCCTTGTGTGGCCAAGCACAGGCCTAGAACCCATGGGACATAGCTATGGCCTGAGGGAAGCCTGGGACCTTCTCTGAGTGTTTCCCTCTGACTCTGACCACCAGGCCATTGCAGCTGCTAGGAGGAGAAGGAAGAGGTAGGAACGCTTCCTGACAGCTTTAGGGCATGGGAGGCCCGAGGAGCCCTGTGACCAAGACCTTGCTTTCTCTCTTCCTTCCTACGCTGGACTCCACTTAGGGTAGAGGAAACATAGCTGTCACTGCTGGATTATGGCAGTCCTTGCCAGTGGGGAGAATGGCCAGCCAGGAAGGGGAGAGTTTTGGGGAAGCAGGGTCTATACTGCATCCTGCAAGCAGTGGCCTGTATTCCTCCTTGCCCTCCTGTCATGCCACAGCCCTGCCCCTAAGAAGCTACCATGGGGAAGGTTCCAGAAAGCTCCAAGTTTCCTTGCTGGCTTCTGGAATGGTTCCTTCTCCCCACCCCCACCCCAGATTTTCTCATCTTTCCAAGGGAGAGTGTGAGTCTTTGAACACAAGCCTTCTGACTTCAAACTGATGGGCATAGGGTAGCTTAAAGACTCCTATCTTCTGTTTTCCATTCCTCTGGACACCTGCCTCAGGTGGGCCTTTGCCACGGGATCTCTTGCTATGCAAACATCCAGTCCTAAGTGGCATGCAGACATCACAGACTCATTCCTCAAGAAGGAGGTCAATTGGAAAGTAAATAATGAACAGTTGGGATTGATACTTTGGAGCTAGCAGACCCAGGTTCAAATCCTAGCTTTAACTGCCTTGGCATAGCTGTCTGTCCTCTGTGAATTTATTTAACCTCTCTAATCCTATCTCAAATCTGAGAAAGGGGGCAACATTAAGACGCTGCCTGTGGACATTTGCTGAGCACTGCAGAGGTCTCCCAGATCCCTGCCTCCTCCCGGCTGTTGACATTAGGGCCAAACCATGTGTCTTCTGGCTCCCTACATGGTTTTGCTCACTGCACTTTTTTTTGGAGGTGCAGAGGGCTATTTCTTAGTATTTCTGTGTTGGGGAGACCTGGACATGGTGAGCCCCATCTTTGTGGCCAAGCAGCAAAGGCCAGGGTACCTGGCAGTGTCCAGGCCTTCCCCTGCTGTACCAGTGAAGTGAGACCCAGCTGCTCCATGTCCCCAGAAGTAAGGACAAGGGCTGGACTCTGAACATCAACATGAGGCTTAGAATGGAGGTCGAGTTTCTGAAGTCAGGCAGAGAATGGTTAATGACTTACTTGCCACTGTTAGTAAGTGGTACGGGTATAGAATTCAGAGGGGCACCCAAGAGAACAAGTGTAGCATGAGTTGGGGGGCAGAGTCCAGACATAGGGACCAGCACAGACAAAGGCCCCAAGGCCAGAGTATCTGATGGACACAATATGGTATTGAAGGGCTGCATGTGGGTGCTAGGAGTTGGGTGTGGGGTGTGGAGGGGTTGTACCTTCTTGTGCAGACTGTGGGACAGAATTGCAGAGGGAAGATGACCCGTCACTGCTCTTCCTCTGGTCCTGCCCCCTTCCTCCCATGAGCTACCACAGCACCATATGCTTTTTCTTTTTCTTTTTTTTTTTTTTTTTTCCTTTTTTCCTTTCCAAGGTGGGCCTTAATGTCCTGGTTCAGAAAGCCAACAAGTTCACCCCAGCCACCCGCCTTCTCGTCCAGAGATTTGTGCCATTCCCTGCTGTAGGTAAGACTTGTATGGTGTGTAGACATCCTTGTGCCATCCATGGGTAGGGGGCTGCAGGCTCTCAGCCGGTTGGATGGACAGCTGTCCACAACTCCCCTGATGCCTGCAGACTCCAGCTGGGGAACTGGAACAAAATGTGTGGAGAGAGAAGGGCTGACAGGGGCCCACTGACCGGCTCCATGCCAGGGATTTGGCTTTTAGCACAAGAATTCTTAACCTGGGGTCCGTATACCTCCAAGGGTCAATAAATAGAATGCAATGGATCTTCTGAACTTGGAAAAAGTTTTACTAACTTCTACGTAAAATTTAACATTTTTTCTGCCATGAAGGTACCCAGAAAACCACAATAAGGTACAAGACCTCTGGTTGAGATTTGAGAAATCACAGATATTTTCATATTGCATCACAGTTGTTACTCAGAGACCTTAAAATATCACTTTTGCTCGACACTAGTCCAAAATTATCATATTTAATACATTTACTGCTAGATCATATTTTTAATTTCTTACTTAAAAGCACATCTCTTAATCACAATTTAAAATTTTCTGATAACCTGTTTCAATATAATCCTTTTGTAGTCCTGTGAATTTTGGGGTTTTTGTTTTGGTACCAGAGATTGAACTCAGGACCTTGGGCTTTCGAGGTAGGTGGTGGCACTGCTGAGCTAAATCCCCAGCCCCCTGTGAATTTTGTTTTATACATTTAGAAAAATTATTCCGAGAGGGATGCAGCGGCTTCACCTGACTGTCAGTGGGTTCTTGGCACAAAAGAAGGTTTGAGCCGGGGATTTAGCTCAGCAGTTCGGTGGCCTGCCTTGTAAGCGCAAGGACCTGAGTTCAATCCCCGGTACCAAAAAAACAAAAAACAAGAAAAAAAAAAAAAAGTTCGGTGGCGCCCCTTATAAGCAAGGACCTGAGTTCAATCCCCGGTACCAAAAAAACAAAAAACAAGAAAAAAAAAAAAATAAGGTTTGAGCTTCTGCTGGGCCCTGGGGCTGCTGCAAAGTCCAGCCTGGATTTTAGGAAGCCTACACCCTAGTGGAAAGTTTTCCAAAAAGAAATAAACAATATCAGGGCAGGAGATTTAGCTCAGGGGCCAGGGATTTCTCTCAGTGGTACCACTGCCTGCCTCAGAAGCACAATGTCCTGAGTTCAATCCCTGGTACAAAGAAATGAAAAGAAATAATATCAAAAGCAGTACAAAGCAGTACACAGTTAGTCATCAGAAGAGAATCATAAGCAAATGCTTAAACCCTAAACCAGAGTTCCCTCCAGTTGGTGCCCGAGGACAGGAGGGGCTGGGCTTGGCACAGGGCCTGAGAACCCCCAACCTCTCTGGTGCCAAGGCTCAGAGTGAGGAGCCCAGAGTCAGACCCAGAGTCACAGCCTTGACCCTAATCTTCACTTGAGGGCTCACTCCCCCATCTGTAAAATGCAGACACCAGTACCCACCTCCTACAGACAAGAGCCCTGGGAGGAGCAAGTGAGACCACAGACCAGATTCCACTGATTGGCAAGTACTTTGGAGCACCTGAGAGCCCATGAGAAAGTAGGAGGTCTTTCTTGGGCAGCTTCATCTCCTCCATGGCCCAGAGGCTCATAAACTAGAACTAACCACCCAGTTGAGCCTCAGCCGACCCAGATAATTGCTATAGCAACTCCACACTTTTAATGAACTCTCAGCTATTTCTGTCATGGACCATTAATGGAATATCTCTTTAGATCTGACTTTGTTACAGGGTCTAATTGAGCAAACGTGGCTGTCCAACTAGTGTTTGTGGCCATTGGGGCTGGAGGGTCATAAGCAGCTTGAGAAAGGGCAGCCTTTAGCTGCCCTGGACTGGATCTAGGACTCACCAGAGATGTTATCTGCCCTTGCACCAAACCTCATATAACAACTTTGCCACCGGCCCATTCCAGGCCTGCTCTGCTACCATTTTGCTGTGTGACCTTGAGGTGTTCTTAACCTGTCTGGGATTCCCTCAAGAGGAAAGGCCCTTCCTGTGGTCTGAGCCTTTTTGACTTGCCTGTTTTGGGCTCCACCCAAATTCCTCTCTAATCTCAGCCTTCTCTCACAAGTGCAGCCAACTGTTGGGCTTCTTGAGGTCTCCCCATCTCAAGCCAATTTGCAACCCTGGTGGTCCTGGCCCCCCAGGATCTCATGAGAAGCCTATCCTTTCTGCACCCCAGGCCCATCTGCAATTGGGCACTTGCCAACTCCCCTGACCAGTGCGGCCCGATGCTATGTGAGATGAAAAGTCATGCCACTCCCCCACCAGGCTCCAAAGCCACCTGGTCCTCTTAAGCCATCGTCTAGCCCCTGTACCTTATCCCACATGCCCTGGCCAAGACTGAGCATCTCATTCTACAGCTACAGGGGGACTCAATGAGCCATGTGTGCATGTGGGAAGTAGGTGGGGGCAAATAGAGGTGAGCATGTGAAGCCTTTGCTGTTGAGAAGGGTGTGTGTGTGTGTGTGTGTGTGTGTGTGTGTATGTGTGTAGTAAAAGGGGACACTCAAGGTGATGGGGTCCCAAAGAGGCCTATGTGCCCTGTGCTCAGGCCATACCCACACCCACTCTCTTTTTTTGAGACAGGGTCTCACTATGTATTTCAGGCCAGCCTTGAACTCACTTTGTAGCCCAGTCTGGTCTCGAACTGGCAGTGATCTTTCTGCCTCATCCTCCAGAGTGCTGGGATTATAGGCGTGCACCACCACGCTTGGCCCACAGGCACTCTCCTGAGCAGGCTGCAAACAAGGAGACTTCCCAAATTCATTGCTTCTTCCCATGGCTCTGCCAGGCCCTTCCCAGCCTGAAGCCTGGGAGGTAGGAGGAGACGTCTCCTCTCTGAGCTCCATGCTGTTGACAGAACACCCTGAGACATTCAGGCACAGGATGCTTGGTCCTTTTATTTGCTGCTGGGACCTTCTGCACAGACAGCAGTGCCTCCCCTGGGTTTGCAGAGGCCTGGACTCCCAGGGGCTACCCAACTGTCCTCCCCTCACTGGTCCTCACTGTGTGCTGTGAGGCCCCAGAGGCAGTGTGTACCATCCTCATTTTACAGAAAAATAAGCAAATTCAGACTTGCTGAAAGTTATATTGAGCTGGCCCAAGCCCAGGCTCTCAGACTCAGCCAAAGGCCATTTCAAGCCTATGTGGATAACGCCTCTGTAGCTGAGAAACTGAGGGCTGTATCCAGAGGTGGCCGAGGCCACTCAGTGTCCTCCATGCTGTTCAGGAGCATTCTACCTCCAAGTTCACCCCTGACTTGTCCAGCTGGAATTATGTGCAGGTGTGTGCATGTGCCGGTGTGTGCATATGTGTGACTGATGCCTGTGCGTGTGTATGCCGAGTGTGTGGGCGCCTCTCTCCCTCAAGGTGGTTTTAGAGCTGTGCCGTGCCCCTGGTGTAGAACAGCAGTCATGTGGGAAATCTCAGTTTCTATTTATACGTGGAGATGTTAGGGAAGACGGTGAGCCTGGAGCATGTGTGCTGGCATCGGAATCGATTGGGGACTGGTAATTAATTTGTTTAGACCTTAATTAATTCTCCAGTTCTTTCTTATTTGTGGACTGTCACGCTTAATTGTGTTCAGAAGCTCGAGCTCAGAGCAGGCCCTCCATTAATTGACGTGTGGTTACTGCGAGGTGGAAGTTAATGGTTTGGGAAGCTGGGCAAACAGTGTAATTAAAGGTCAATAGAGGAGACATTGGAAAAATACACACCCCCAGGTCTGGCTGCCAGTCTCCCCAAGCAGACTTCATTCTAGAATAGCCTTTCTGAGAGGCCATGGGAAAGGGTGGGTGTCACCAGCAGGAGGAGCACTAGGCGGGAGTTCTAGGGCAGGGGGTTCCAGGGTGGGGCACTGGCCAGAGGAATAGACACACTTATCAGGATGGCAGGTGCTTTGGAGAGGTGAAGACCCTGGGGGTGACTTCTAAAGCTGGGGCCACAGGCTCTGTATCTGTGTGTGAAGGTCACCAAAGACTGCCTGGCTCTGTCCCCAAGGGGAAGGGGACAGCAGTGAGAACCATGTGCTAATACGGACCCCGTCCTGTCCCTGAGCTTCTGAAGGGGGAGGCTTGAGCCTCAGCCTAAGCCTCAGCCTGTTGGCTCCTTCCACAGAAGAATAACTTTCCCTGTGGATGGAAAATGCCAGCCTCAGCATTGATTTGCTCAGCATTGAAATGGCTTCTTCTGGTGTTATCTCCAGTAGTCTCTTCTGTTAAATGTCAAAACTTATTTTGTTGCCACAAAGAAAACCTCTGTGCTTACCAGCGAGCCGGTGCTCAGGGTGTGCGGGCAGCCTCTGGGACAGGGTCTCCCTTTTGTTCACACCCAGTATGCCCTACTCCTGATCTCCTGTGCCCCTTTACCCCCAGACCACATGAGTTTTGATGCCATTCCTTCCCTCTTCATGCCATTGCTCCTCTGTGCTCAGACTGCCCCCCTAGTCCAGAAGGTGCTCACTGCTTGCTGCCTGAGCCACGAGGGGTCAGCCCAGGTCTGAGCACAGTTCTCAGGCTCGCTGCTCTTCCATCGGTTGTCCCTTTGAGTAGGAGACAGTAGAGTGCGCCTGTGGCAGCCCTATAACATGCATTCCCTCCATCAAGGTCAGAAGCACTTCCTGTGCCATTCCAGGCCCGTGAGGCTGCACTGAAGGCTGTGTCCCTCCCTCTAGTTGCCCTGCACTAGCCCCTGCCTATATCCCTTACAGCTGTGGTGAATCTCTCTTGCCACTTTTTGAGGCAGTCCTGGAAGTCCTCTTTCTTAAGTGTCTTTAGTTGTGCTGTTGTGGCTACCTCCATGTCCTGAATTGACTCAAAATATTTACATTTCAGGGTCATTTTTATTTTGAGGAGGATCCCGAAGTTGCACACTGTCAGATATGGTGAATGAGGTAGATGAGGGTACACTGTAATGTTTTTTATGAGTCTGGCTTTTCATTGGATGATACTTGCATCCACATTCACCATATTTTTGATCAACACCTTATAAA